GAAAGAAGGTCGGCTTCAATTTGGCGAAAGTCCAAAGATGCAGGTGGACACGGATCCTCTGAAGGTCGAAGAAGCCTCATATTCTAAGCTAGACGAAATGGTGGACTTAGACGAGGAAAGGTAATAGTGCTAGACATGTTATTACGCCAAAAGACACGGGTGGCCAAAGCATACAATAAGAAGGTCAGGAAAAAGACCTTTGCAGTCAATGATTATGTATGGAAGGCAGTATTTCTTGTGGATCGACGGGATCGAATGTTAGGAAAGTGGTCACTAAATTAGGAGGGACCATTCCAAGTAACCCAAACATTCAGTAACAACGCGTACGAGGTCCAAGAGATAGGTGGGGACCAACGAATCATAAGAGTAAATGGGAAATATTTGAAAAATATAGACCTATGCTAGAAGAGGTTCAAATCCAAAAATAATGTTTCATTGATAATTGACCTACATTGGCGGAAGGCTAACAGAGTTTACAAAAGAGCTTCATAATGGAGTTACAAAAAAACTCCATTTATTACTCGAGTACCTATTATTTGTTACTCGCGATGCTTTGCTGCGTATCTTTGTTTGTTCCATCTGTTACACGATGCTTTGTCGTGTGCCTTTGTTTTATCCACGATGTTTTGCCGTGTATTTTCTCTCTGTTTATTTTTCTCAAGATGCTTTGTCGTGATTGTTTTGTGGATTTTATTCGTGATGCTTTTTAGTGTATCTTTGTTTGTTTATGCGTGATGTTTTTCCATGTGTACTATGTGTGTACCTTTGTCTGTTGATTACATGATGTTTTTCTGTGTATTTCTGTTGACTTTTTATTATGTAATTACCATGACATTTTTTCCATGTGTACTTTGTGTATACCTTTGTCTGTTGATTACATGATGTTTTTCTGTGTATTTCTGTTGACTTTTCACTATCTGATTACCATGATTTTTCCATGCGTATTCTGTACTATTTTGTGTGTATGACCATGCATGATGTTTTTCTGTGTATTGTGTCTGTGACTTTTCTGCTTGCTGACTACATGATGTTTTTCCATGTTTTTGCTGCTTTATATTCCTTGTTGACCTAATCCAAGGGAAGGGACTGTATGTTGACTTATTGTCATTGTGTGTGTCCCTCATCTGTTCTTTACTTGTCTTTGTTGCTCTTGGTCCTTAGAACCTGGAAACTCGTTGTTCCACGAACTACAGACGCTCTGATTTTTTAATTTCCTCTTGAGAATACGTAGGCACAAGGCCCCGATCCTTGGCGAGCACACTTTTCTTTTTTTCACAACCTTTTCTTTTTTCAACCTTGTCTTTTTCACACTTATCTTATTTTCACACGTAGTTTTCGAACTACGATTGCTCTGACTTCCTATTAAGGATACAGGCATAGGATTGCGAGATCCTAGCGAGCTATCTTTTTCTTTCCTTTTCTCTTTTCTTTACCTATCCTTACCTTTAGCAAACAATTTTAGGAAAAACACAAATATTTCAAGAGGTTCCTGTAGAGTATTACAAATGCTTAGAGTGCTAGTACCTTCCCTTAGTAGAACCAACCCTTGTGCCTTTGATCTCTCTTTGCTTAGCTTTAGGCCTCGCTTTTTGCTTTGCATTTTACTTAGGCTTTTGTTCTTTCTTTTCCCTTTCCCTCGGATAAATTAAAGATCGGTGGTGATATTTTATGACTTGTGATTCAAGTTAATACAATAGCTTGATATCTGATTCTTACCGTAAAAAATACCATTTCATCAAGCCCTAGGTCATCAGATGCACCCAAATTAGGGTTTCGACCTCAATCAACCTTGAGTTGACTTTTTGGCCAAGGCATGATGTCACACTTCAACACATGGCTCAAAGGCCTCAAGTACATCATCTTAGTTCATTCATACATTTGGATTGGTTCAAAGAGCTTGATTCATTGATAATTGAATAATTCTAGTTCAACTGGGAAAAATTAACTATGGATCAAAGTCAAAGTTTGACTTTTGAGATTTTTGGTCAAACATGGACTCCATAAGTCAAGGATCGTGGAAATATGAAGTATTATTGAATTTGATAAAGGTTAATTAAGAAAATAAAGAAAGGGATCCAATTGTGTCAAATTAGGGTTTTAAAAGAAATTCTAAGTATAAAAGTCCATGGTCAAATGGCTTACTTTCCAAGGTTGTAACTTCTTCCTCAAGCATCCAATAGAAACATTTGAGATCTACTTTAAAATAGAGAATTTGATACTACAAAGTTGGTGAAAGAATGGATTCAAAAGCTCTTACCATTTGGAAGAAATGGGTGGCCAAAGTAGTGGTTTCATCATGATAAATTTGTGGCAAAACAATCCAGAATCTTAAGTGTCAAAAAGTTTAAACTTCTAATTTTCATGTCCAGTTTTCTCCATGATCCAAGATGATTCAAATAAAGCTCCCAACACCAAAGTTGTAGTATTTTGTCTCCTTTTTTCATTGATACCAAGAGAAAGAATTTTGGAAGCTCGAGCATAAAGTTATGATTTATGCAAGAAGTCATGATGAAACTATTTCACTAGACAGATTTTCGGTGACATGACCAACTTGTCTTGCCACCCATTGACCAAAGCAAGACAAGTCTCTTTCTAAACTGATAAATTCATATATCATGCATGCTATAAAAGGCCAAAAACCCCAACCACCAAGATTTGCCTCATTTGGTGCTACCAAGAATGAGAAAACATAAAGCATTTTTGTCATTTTCATGTTTTGCCAAAGTTTGTCGGCTAAGTTTGATCCACCGAATGTTTTCAAAGAAAAAGGACAGAAAATAGTGATTAAAGAGAGGGAGAGATATCAGAAAAAAGGGCATTCAAAATTTGAACAAAAAGAGTCTTGAACCATTGTTGAAAACTTCCATTCTTACTCACTCCATTACCAACCTTCCAACAACTTTCACTATTATCACAATCATCTCACAAAAACGTCAACACTACACTCTTATTTTCATAAAGGAATGCTTTATATTATTCTTCTTGCTATCACCCTCAAAGTCCACAACTCAACCTGGAGCTTGGAACATTTTCACCATTGTTGGTAAGTTTCAAATATCTCTCTTCAACCTTGTGTTTATATTATGTTGGTTTTGTGTATACGATGTATAGCATGTGTTTAATACCTAGGTTGTGTTTTATTATGTGTCAATGTTTGTTTCTCATATTGAGATCATCGTGAGTTATGTGTGAAATATATGTGTAAGTGTTTGGTTTTTTAATAATTTCTTACTCTTGTTAGTTTGATAAGGCAATTATGTGTACTTTTTATGACAACATGTGGAGTTTGATTTAATCAAATGGTTTTTACCTTTTATCTAACCTTATAATTTTCTACATTCCCATTCACATTTTCCTCTCAACATAAGATTCACCACCACTAGACCAGAGAGACCACGACCACATCAGGACGCACCAACTTAGCCTCATGCATCGTAGCCACAATCTTCTTAATTTTCATCAGCATCGTCATTCTCATAGTCTACTACATAGTTTTTAAACCCCAAGACCGCCGTCAATGTTGTTCAGCTTCCATCCTTCTCTGTCATCAACGGCACCGTTAACTTCACCTTCGCATAATACGCCTTCATTAGAAACCCTAACCGAGCTGCTTTCTCTCACTATGTCAACTCTCTTCAAATTCTTTATTACGGTACTTAAGTCGACTTCATGTTCATCCCCGCCGGTCAGATCGACGTTGGGAGAACACAATACATGGCCGTCATGTTCTCTGTTCCGAGTTTCCCATTGTCCGCACTGCCGAATATGGGTCCTACACTGGAAAATGGTGATGGTGTTGGGTTTAACTCCGGTTCAACCGACGATGGAGATTGAGTCGTAGTTAGAAATTGAGGGGTGTGTTAGGGTTTTGTCTTTCTTCAGTCATGAAGTATTAGCATCGACAAATTGATGAATGAGATACAAAGTTTTGAAATCTTTCGTTTTATCTTCCTTTTGTGTAGTTTTATGTGCAACCGTTGCACCTTCTACAAGTGGATTAACATCATTCTTGATCACTTCAAGAACATCCTGATAACCAAACAACACATTCATTTATTTGCACCACTTATCATAATTCTTCGCATCGAGAATTGAGAGATTTACATGGATACGCTCATTGGAGATGCAAAGCATTTTTGCACGCTAAGTGTTCGATCAAAGAATCAGGCTCTTGATGCCAAATACCTCAATAAGAACAATGGTGAATAATGGAGAGATTGAGAAAATGAGAATTATGGTGAAACTATAGTATATTGATGGATTAAAATTTTACATATTGTGCTACATCCTTTATAGGATTATACTACTAACTAACTTCTAATTAATAACCACATATATAATTAGCATTAATCACATGTTAAACTATCAATAACCACATATTAAACTATCAATAACTATTTATTAAACTATTTGCAACCACATAACCACTTGAATTACTATTTTCTCACCAAAAACATTGTCCTTTGCCAAATAATACTATAAGTCAATAAGTAGACAAGACGTGAATATTTCTTTGTGAGGTACTAAAAATATTTTACTCTCTTCATCCTGAGTGATTTATTTGAAATAAAATAGTGTCTTAGAATGAATGATTCATTCCAATTTTTAATGTCTTTTTTAATTTTATCTTCTAATTAATATTACTTTCATTATTCTTAATACATAATAAAGATATTTTAGTAAAAATATCATTCTCTCTTTTAATTATTTATTCTTTTTTATCTATGTGAAATAGTTAACCGAATCATTCACGATAAGACGAATGAAATAATAAAAAATAATTCATTTTTGGTATACTAGGTAACGTGTTTTGTGAGAAGGTGAAGAAAAAAAAAAACAAATAGCTATATTTTTCTTATTATGTTTTCCTTTAATGAAATAAAAGATTTTTCCAAATAAAAAATCAATATATTTTTATTTCTTGAGTGAAAGGATAGTGAGAACTATACCACATAAAAAAAGTGTTGTTATTCGAAACTGAAAGTGAGAAAGGAGAGAAAATGGTGAATCTAGCATCCGCTTCTGTGCAACTCTCAAATCCATTTCCGCCATCTTCTTCTTACAAACCTCTTATCCGCAGGAACTTCCTTCTCTTCACAACAAGAGCCAACGAACCTCAAACACCACCCTCTGATTCGGACCCATCCAAACCCGATTCCGAGATTACCGCCACCGGAGCAGACTTTGATAACCGCATTAACCAACTCCGCCTCCGTTCCCGGAGGGGCGCTGGCAAGAAGGCGGAAGCCCGTAAGAGCCGAAAGTTGAATAAGGCTACTTCAGGGTCAGCGCCGGGGTCCGGCGTGTACCTACCGCCGGTGCCGTTAAAAGAACCAGTTTCCGGTGGATTGAAGGTGGAGTTAGGGTTTAGCAAATTCAGCGAGAGATTGAACGGTCGTGTTGCGATACTTGGATTAACGGCACTGTTGCTGGTGGAATTGGCAACAGGGAAAAGCGTTATCAATTACCACTCACCTGGCACTGTGCTTATTCAGTTTTATTTTATGGCTGCACTTACTGCTATCTATGTCAAGTTTCAGAAGGAGAAAATCAGTATTTGGCCCGACTCTTCTTCAACAAACTAATGTTTTTTCTCGTTTTCAAATCTACAGCAATGCTACTTGATAATATATATTATTGTCGTGCTTCAATTTGTACAATGATAAAAAATACTATTGCTTTAATCTGCTTTCAAATGGTTATAAGCGATCTTCATTTGGCAATTATTTTGCATAATTATTATACAGTTAATTCAAACAAGTGTATTTTTCTGATAATAATGTGATTTTAAACTTGAATTTTTATCTTAAATGTGTACGTCACTCTTCTGAATTGAGCCAAGATACTGAGAAATTGAGATTCTAATGTGCTTTTATTGCATATATTCTGAATTAAATTACATCTATAGTTCTGTCCTTTGCCAGAAAAGAATGGTAACAACTCCAAAACAAATGAATATCAAAGGCCATTACATATATTCTTTTTTCCTTTCATATTGTACACTGCCACTACACTGATCCCAGATTTAGACTATTTCTATTCTGAATGCAAAATCACCAGTTTACAAGTACAACAAGGGTTGCGACATTTTACGCTATAAAGGTGCCTTGGCTAAAAAATCATTAACATCAAGGTTGGCATCTCCGTGGGACACAGCATCGTCTGGCTCTGGCACAAACAAACTAGTGGATGAGACCTACAAAAATGAACATTCGTTAGGAAATTATCTATCAAAATATATGGGTTGATGAGTGACAGGGAAACTCTAAAATAATACAGGTAATTATGATCATAGAGCAAGTCCAAGCCAACTCTTGAAATTATGAGATGTGTAACGATTCAATCAAATGCAGCTGAGATTTTACATGTTGGGAGCATAAACTCAGCTTTAGAAAGAAAAAGAAAACCTACAGCTAATCCAAAGAGTAGAATCAAACATACTTTTGTGTCAAGCATCATGTCTCCATTGTTATCGGTTATTATGCTGGCACCATGCGCTTTCAACCATTCTAAACACTCTTCCAAAGCGGAAGCCTCTTTCTCATCGTTTGCTTCATTTAAGGGAACGGCAGTTGAGAATCCAAGAACCTGAGAGACGTAAGAAACGGGTAAGGTTGGCCGATATGATCGGCACATGCAGGTCACAGCTTTATACCGCATCTTTTCAACATATAGATCTGTAGAAATTATAGACAACAATTCCGTTAGTCACCCCTTAAAATATTATAATGTATGTTACCAACCAGATGCAAGTGCAGAAAAGAAATTGTCAATACACACCCATAAGGCACGTGTTTAAGTTAGGAGCTGCTTTGTACAATCTAAAGAATGCAACGTAATTTCCCGAAGTTACAGCTGCACGAACTGCCAGGGCATGTTTTACAGCTTCGTCCTTCTTTGAATCGACAGATAACCTACCATAGACAACACAATAACCCATACAAAAATAATGAGAATTAATACAACAACTCGAGGCAAAATATCAATGTGTAGCCATAGTCATGTCCATCCAACTCTATCTTATTTGTCAGTTGTCAACACGGAATCACTAATTTCCACCCAAACAGCCATAAATTTGAGCCTTACGAGCCCCTCAAATTGCTACCAAACTAGCCTTGCCCGGACACTATTGCAATAAATTTTCAAACCATCATTTTTCTAACCATAATATTTTAAAGCTAAACTAACTGTGACAACATTTATTTTAATTGTGACGAAAGACTTCAATAAATCAGGCACCCACAATAAACGCTTCACCTAGGCTGATAATGTAACACAACACCGCTTTTTTCTCAATTATAAAATAAAAATTAAAAGGCCTAAGAAGCTACAAAATGGAAGAAACAGCAAATGGGAGAACATGGGAACAATAAAAACCACATCTACGGGTGCTATTTCTGAGGCAAAAGAATTAATACCAGATTAATATATTCAAAATTAATAGCCTATTTCTGAGGCAAAAGAATTAATACCAGATTAATATATTCAAAATTAATGGCGTATGTTTATGGAACCCAACTCCCCAAGGACTAACTAGAATATTTCAAAACACAGTTAACATTACGGTATTAATAATAGCACAGGATTCTGGTACATAATAAAATTTCTGCCAAGAATTTTGAAAACAGGAGAAATAGGTAAGAATTTAAACACGGGTTTCACCTTGCCATTGATGATAGGAGTTCTCTGTAATTATTTGAATGCATAATAACACAAAGCAAGTTGTACGCAGCAAATTCCATATACGACCCCTCAATCCCTTCAGCATAAAGAGCCTTTAGCTGGGATTGACACTGAAATCACACAATCAGAGTCAATATCTTTACGTCAAAAATACAAAAAGTTAAATAACATCCACAGCCTCTATAATTGACCGATCCCATTTCTAAAACAAAATGTACCTAGATTTCTTTAATGACTTGAAATCTATAATTTAATAATCCAGTTTACATTATTACATAGGTCACACCAGCAAAGATAAGTTAATATGGTATGCACGCTGAAACACACATCCACAATAAAACTCTATTGTTAAATTGGCTCTGACCAAGTTGTCGGGATCATCAAGTTTCTCTTAGAATCATGTGCACTATTACAATCTTCAACCATGTTTACAATCAGTTTCTCTTAGAATCATGTGCACTATTACAATCTTCAACCATGTTTACAATCAGTTTCTCTTAGAATGTAAGTATGTATAAGTACAATCTTGTATTTCAAGTAGGATTAGTAAGATGAAGGATCTTAATCTTATGATTCGTGTTACGATCCTCAAGTTACAAACTTTACAATGCCTGATTCAAGGTAGAATCTCAAGTTTAACAACATTTCTCTGGATGCAAATCACATAAGCATCATTATGTAGCTCATTGTTCAATAAACTTCAATATATAGAAAGACTCCACTATAGACCCTAATCTCAGAAGACTTCTTATGTTCTATATTGTAGAACGACTTCAATATATAAATCATATAAGTATGAATGACTTTGAATGAAATATATAAATCCCTAATCTCAGAAAAAAAATATGATAGCTATAAGGCTGGTCAAAAAACAATCTACGCATAAAATGAGTTAATATACTGTAGTATCTTCAAATAACATACAAAACCTAACCTGATTGTATTCGGGTAGGTCCCCAACTTCCAGTGCCAACCGGGCGTGAGTTTCATACACCTGAAACATCATTTCAAGTGTTAACAAGTTCAGGAGCAGTGGAAAATATTAAGTGCACATATTATACAACAGCCACCACCAAAGCCTTTCCCCTATACGTGAGGCCGATTACAGGAAACAAAAGATGCATTATGTTCTGTCCAAAACCAACTTTTATATGGATAGGGAAATTTGAAGACATGTACAGAAACCATTACTGAGAAATACTATGAATAAGAAAAATTGGTAAAGAATGTGACCAGAACTCATCAAGACTTAGTAGTACCTTGACTGTTAGTTGGTTGTGTATTCTTTGCACAGTTAGGTCTTGGCGAATAGACTTTAACTGGTCACATTTATAAAGGTAATTCCTTTGGGAATTTTGAACCATTAATAGTGCTTTTTCAAGAATCTCTTCAGGTCTTACCTGTAAGTTCACAACATTGTATTGAGATTATTAGTAAAGGAGGCAGAAATAAGAAAAAATAAAAATAGCAGCACGCCATTTAAATTCTTAAAAGGAGATATTACAGTGGCGGGATCTGGTGCCGATGTTAGACGCAGGTATCTCTTTTCAATTTCCTGGCAGGTACCCTTTACAGTAAGAGCATCCCAGTCAATATCCTCAACAGCTTGGCTGACACCATCATCAAAGCTTTTGCTAAGCACCAGAGCACTAGCCCTTCTATTGTACAAGTTTCCAGCTCTAGCATTTTTTTTCCTTGAGTGGTTATTTTCTGTTCGTTGTGCTTGCCCTAAATCAAATCGCTTAGAACGAATCTCACGTCTTTTCAATTCCTCTGGTGTATCATTAACCGCAGAATAATATGCTGCCAAACTTTGTTCCTTATCACTATCACTAGATGCATTACTATTTTCATGACCAATAGAAACATCCGCAAGACGCTGCTTCTTAAATGGCCTTTGGGGAGACTTACTTGATATTCTGTGCAAAAATGGAGAAAATTTTGTATTCTTCCAACTGTCTTCCTTGATCTCTTTGTTTTCCACTACCACCTGTGTGCCACTCATTAAGGTGAATTAAAGAAAATCATCTATGTAACTAAATGAGAAAGACTTACCATTGTCAACATAATTGTACGTGAAAAGCACCTTAAGGGGATAATACTTATAGTCCACTCTAGTCTTGAGTATATGCAAAAAGTATCCATATTCAGGTGTTCACAAATATATGCAAATTTAACTACTTTCACTATATTTAATGATGACATTTTCCTAAAATACCCTAAATTAATACAAGTTTTATTTTTAACGACTCTTATTCTCATGGGACAAGTTTCTATAAATGAAACTTCTGAGAATGTGCACTGTTTGTACAAGATCAGGAAGATTAATTATGATGGTATATATTTCTTAATAAGTGAGATTAGGTGCTTTTGCTCCTGGTTGAGATCAGAGAGGTACTTTCAGATGAAAAAGCATATCTAAACAGAACATGGAGGAGAGACACACAGAAATAAACCCACAGGACAGACATGAAAAAATAAATCTGTGAGGTTCTTGCAAGGAAGAAAACCCCTAGACCTAATATAGAAGAAATGTTATGCTATCTGACAATAATGTCATATCTTAAAGAATATTAAAATAATAAATTAGCATGTTAGATTAAATATAATAAAGAAAACCGAAAAAGCTCTTGCACAAACAAACTAGTTTCTATACTATAAAAGAAAAAAGGTGCATCAATAAAATTTTCAGATGGTATTAGCTCACTCACAAAATCAACCATAAAAATTGCAAGATATAGAAGACTAGTTGAGGAATAAAATCAAACCATAGCACATGAGCCTCCTATTTGTCAAACAGCATGAAATGAAATAAAACTAACAATCCAAATAGTGGGGAAAAATAAAGTGAACTTGTTAACTGCTGTTGTACTCTACACAAGATTCATAAATAGAAGGTTAA